AGACGTTGTGGCCATTTGGGGAGTGAACCAGTGGATAGGAGATTGTTTTCTCTTTCTCTCTCTCAAACTCTGTTTATTATACCTATGAATCCTTTATTGGTCATATAGATTACAAATATCTCACACAATATATCATTTGTTTATTGACTCTGGTCTCTGACAGTAAGCCAGAGGCTTCCAAGTCTTAGAAGTGTATCCAGGGGCTGGCATTGTGGTGCAGCGGATTAAAGCCTCAGCCTGCAGTGCCGGCATCTCAAATAGGCGCTGGTTCTATTCCTGGCTGCTCCTCTTCCAATCCAGCTCTCTGCTATGGTCTGGGAAAGCAGCAGAAGATGGCCCAAGTCCTTGGGCCCCTGCACCCATGTGGGAGACCTGGAAGAAGCTCCTGGTTCCTGGCTTCAGACAGTCCCAACTTCAGCCGTTGCAGCCACTTGGGGAGTGAACCAGCAGATAGAAGGACCCTCCTCCACCCACTCTACCTCAGTCTCTGTAATTCTGCCTTTCAAATAAATAAATAATTATTTTTACGATATAGCTTGAGATTTGCTACACACGTCAGACACTACCTGCCTGATTCAGCAGCTCCTCTGCTTAGAAAAAGCAGGTTGTGGGACTAAAGTTGAGAAAGAGAATAGGGACGCTGGACTCAAGTCTCTGTCTTCCAGAATCCCCTGAAGTTTTCTTCTAGTACCACAACTACTGGAGGGTATCAACCAACAGCAAAACATTGATCCGAATTACTGGTTCAGCCCTTCCAGTCTTGACCATGTAGCTGTTTAACAGCTTGCTCAAATTTAACAGACAGCAAAGACATTGTCTTAATGTCTAACTTCTCAAGACTGTTCTTTTTTTTTTTTTTTTTTTGACAGGCAGAGTGGACAGTGAGAGAGAGAGACAGAGAGAAAGGTCTTCCTTTGCCATTGGTTCACCCTCCAATGGCCGCCGCGGCCGGCGCGCTGCGGCCGGCGCACCGCGCTGATCCGATGGCAGGAGCCAGGAGCCAGGTGCTTTTCCTGGTCTCCCATGGGGTGCAGGGCCCAAGCACCTGGGCCATCCTCCACTGCACTCCCTGGCCACAGCAGAGGGCTGGCCTGGAAGAGGGGCAACCGGGACAGAATCCGGTGCCCCAACCGGGACTAGAACCCGGTGTGCCGGCGCCGCTAGGCGGAGGATTAGCCTAGTGAGCCGCGGCGCCGGCCTAAGACTGTTCTTTACCTCTACGTTTCTCCATCCACACACAAGCATCATGATTATTTAATTGCTCAAACCAAAAACCAAAGAGTTATTCTTGATTCCTTTCTTCCCTTACATTTCATGTCCAATCTCTTACCAAGTTCTCTAGACTATACATCTCCGAAAGATATCTTGAAACCATGCATTTTTCTTCCTTTCTACTATTATCATCATATGGCTACATGCTATTATCTTTCTTTTTTTTTTTTTAATTTTTTTTTTGACAGCCAAAGTGGGCAGTGAGAGAGAAAGGTCTTCCTTTTCCGTTGGTTCACCCTCCAATGGCTGCCGCGGCTGGCGCACCGCGTCTATCCAAAGCCAGGAGCCAGGTGCTTCTCCTGGTCTCCCATGGGGTGCAGGGCCCAAGCACTTGGGGCATCCTCCACTGCACTCCCGGGCCACAGCAGAGAGCTGGCCTGGAAGAGGGGCAACCGGGACAGAATCTGGCGCCCTGACAGGGACTAGAACCCGGTGTGCCGGCGCCGCAAGGCGGAGGATTAGCCTAGTGAGCCACAGCACCGGCCAATGCTATTATCTTTCATTATGAATTCTGGCCATAACTTTCTTTAGGTCTCCTCAAATTGATTCTTGCCCTGTCTTTAATCTGGTTTCTATGAAGTGTCCCGAGTATCTCTGCACCCATCCCTGCCATTGCAAAACCTATAGAAAAGTTCAAAGTTAAGGAACTTCTAAATCCTGAAACATTTAAGTTGTTAAGCCAATGCTCCATGACACTCAGATACTCTGGTGTGTTTTTCTTAATAACAAGGATAGTCCCCTTCCTAATCACAACACAGCCATCAAAATCAGGAAATTAACAGTGATGTTATTGCCATCTAATGCTCAAATCACTTTCCATTTTCTCCAGTTATCTCAACTACATGCATTATAGCAAAAGGCCAGTCCAGAATCACGCACTGCTAGTTGTCATGTCTCATGTCTCTCCAGTCTAGAAGAGTGCCTGAATCTTTTCTTGACTTTGAAAGATTATAAGATATCCCTCAATTTGCATGTATCTAATGTTTCTTTATTATTAGATTCAGGTTATGCATCACCAGACATCTCAGCCAAGTGATGCAGAATTGGATCCTATCACTCTGTCTTACTGTTAATGCTCACTTTCATCACCTGATTAGGGTGGTGAGCATCAGGCTTTTTCTGTGAAATTACTCTTGGTATTTTGTACTTTTTGCATATTTATACTTTGTATTGTATAGGGAGGTGCTATGAAACCATTTAAGGGGGGCCAGCACTGTGGTGCAGTGGATAAACTCACCACCTACAGTGTTGGCATCCCATATGGACGCCAGGTTGAGTCCTGGCTGCTCCACTTCCGCTCCAGCTCTCTGGAACTCTGGCTATTGGGGCCATCTGGGGAGTGAATCAGATCTCTCTCTCTGCCTCTCTGTAATGTTGCATTTCAGATAAATAAATAAATCCATTAAAAAAACATTTAAGGATATAATTTCTCTTCAAATTTTATAATTTATATATGCATATATATGCATATTTATATATGCATATATAATTTATATATGCATGGTTTATTAATTTTAAAAAAAATTTGGAAGTTACAGAGAGACGTATAGAGAGAGCTTCCATCAGCCAACGGGCTTAAATAGCCAGAGCCAGGAGCTTCTTTTGAATCTCCCATGTGGGTGCAGGGGCCCAAAGATTTAGGTCATCCTCTGTTGCTTTCCCAGGCACATTAGAACGGAGCTGGATCAGAAGTGGAGCCGCCAAGACTTGAACCGGCACCCATATGGGATGCCAGGGCTGGAGGCTGGGGCTTTAACCTGCTGCGCCACAGCGCCAGCCCCAAATTTTCTTGAATTCACCAATAAATTTACTGAATTTTCTTCAGTTTATTCGGTATTAACCCACTACTACCATTATTCATTCATATGCTCAAACTGTTGCCCATCTGAACACTGGAAATCTATTCCAGTTGGCCTGTGTTCCACTGCTACACTTCCATCATGCTTTTGCTGTCTGGTTTCAGGATCATCTTGTACCTTCCCTGATTCAGCACTGCGATCAGCCACTTTTCCAAGGAACCCTCGTACCCTTTTATGGAAAACAGCAGGCAAGACCTGGCTGTGCTCATTGCTGTTATCAGGTCCTCTCAGTAAAGAGAGCTAGGGAATAATGTGAAGACACATCAGAAAGTTTGTCAAGGGGCTGGTGTTGTAGCATCCCATATCAGCAACAGTTCAAGTCCTGGCTGCTCCACTTCCAATCCAGCTTCTTGTTAATGCACCCGGGAAAGCAGTGGAAGATGGCCCAAGTCCCTGGGCCCCTGCACCCATGTGGAAGACCTGGCTGAAGCTCCTGGCTTTAGAGAAGCCCAGCCCCAGCTGTTGCAATCATTTGGGGGAGTAAACCAGCAGATGGAAGATCTCTTTCTCTATCTCTCCCTCTCTCTGTAACTGACTTTCAAACAAAATAAACAAATCTTAAAAAAAAAATGTTCGTGGAAAAATGGAATGTAAAGGTGAATTTGTCAGGTACAAAAAACTTTTCAAAATTCATGCATGGTTTTTACATAATGACCCTTATATACGTGGATTTCATTTTTTTTTTGCACTGTTAATTCCATTTTCCATAAACTTTCTGAAGTACCTTTGTAACATACATTGTATACCTACATATGCATACTATGTACAAAATCTACACTTATACCCCATTTATATGTGTATATACACACATACATTTACATTGTTATTTATTTCTACATGAAAATCTGAGTTCTTATCAATTATCTTATCAAACGAATACAATTCTGTTAGAAGAGTTCATTCTATTTTGCTTTCTTTTTTAACTTTCTTCCTCTAACAATGAGAAACTTTGTTCCCATTTTCCTTACTATATGCATTTATTTGTCCAATCTCTGTGTTTAACCAATGTCCCATCTCTGCTGCCAGCGTTTCCCTATGCCAATGTCCACTTTTCCTGTTTCAACTCTGACTCCTCATTTGGAGTCACCTTGCATGTCCCCATACTCTTAATACTTGGGGACACCTTCCTCATGTTGCTACGAATCCTCCCTCCATGAAAGGTAGGCTCACTGCACGGACATCCTCTTCATCCTGCTTGGGCTCTGACTCCCGACTCCATGTCGCGTTTTCTGTTTGAAGACTGTGACGTCCGGGGTCTGAGATCTGCACACGGGGCCACTGTGACTCCCCATTCCCAACCCCTTGCCATAGCTGTGGATGCCTACCTTACTCTGTCCCACCCAATGGTTTTAGGACTAGAGTGTTACAGAAGGGAAATAGAGGAAGTAAAGAATATATATGTATTTTTTAAATATGCAGTTTCTCTGTTCAAAATTTTTTCATGGTTTCCAAACAACTTTACCCGGGGGTGTGATCCTGATACTGTCTGCCTCACAAACCTCATTGTGTACCACTATGCTCAAGACCCACGGGCCTTCCACTGTTCTCTTGAATGCAGCAAGCTCATTCCTTACCTAGGGCCTTTGTGTACCAGCTGTTCCCTGCTGGGAAAGTTTTTACTCCTTATCAGCACATTCTTGCTATTAAAAATTTTCCTAATTACTCAAAGTAAGTAACTACCTGGTTCTTTTCTTCTGTCACCCCGTTTATACCGTATTTACAACTATCTCATTTTTTCTTATTTACTTAGGCCTCTGTCTGCTAAAACCCAAATCAGTTCCAAGAGAGTTGGTTCCTACTTATTAAATGCTAAATCTCTAGCCTCTGGTTACTGAGTGCTGTTATGGAATAGCAAAGGTCTATGATGACTGAGGGGCCTTTGCACTTCTTTCATCAGGGCAATACTGACTGTGAACTGCAACTCCTAATACATGACGTTGCCAGAGCGCAACTCATCACCCTCACAGGCTCTCTATTCCTCAGTGAAATTACTATCATGAGGAATGCTCCCATTACCTGTGTCAGAGCTTGGATACTTGTGTTGATGTCACCACTGGCTACTTGGGAAATAATGAAATTGATTGTGGATGCTGTATTACTGTGCATATCATCGAAGTGTGGAGAAACAGCCCGGATCCTAGACAGCACAGAAAAGAGAAAAATTCAATCTCTATTACAAGACACCCCAGTAAGCAGAATTATGCAATCCCCTACTAGACCCAGGTACAACACTGCTCTTCAGTCACATAGTAATCAGTTCTAAAAAGTTGTAAATGTACACTACCACAGAGGGCTCTTTTCACATACGCATTCTGATGATCATGAATTACTTATACTTAAATAAAAAAGTATAACTTACTTGGGCTCAGGAATAAGGACTGGTTCAAAAATGTCATCCAGTTTGTGCTGGACAAGTTCTGGCATTTCACATCGGACTGTACCATTGTCATTCTCAATCTCATCTAGGTCCAGTTGGAATTCTCGGCGAACCATCTGATGAGCTGCGTCAGGATGCCCACTCATGCTTCGGGCTTGGCTATGGGAAGCAAAAAGAGGCTCCTGAACTAAAAGAGACTTTTTAACCAAAGGGCAGAGTAGCATTGCCAGTGGCCCCAAAGCTTCAAGACAGATGTTCAACTTCTGGTTTCAGCCCCCCTGAATGATTTAAGCCCTTGAGTCTAAGAAGTGCTTTTAATGGACAATGTCACTGGCTCATGAATATCTTACGAGAGCAGATAGTTCTAGCTTCTACTGATATTACCTGCCAAGTTATAGGTATTCTTTCTAGTTCATGAAAGACAATAAATCTTAACTTTCTATTCCAGGCAGGGCAAAAAATAAAAAAAAAATACTTAGATTGACTCAAATTTTTACTAATTATAAGGCAACAATATAAGATAAACTTAGAATTGTGGTATCTTTCCACCAAATTAACCAGGGTTTGTGTCTTTGTAATCATTAGCATCACACCATGCAGTGTTCAGTATATTTGATACTTTGAGAAACAGGCACCACTTTTTTGATAAATTCACTACTGACCAATTAGGGTCAGCATACTTTTAAGAAATAGTGATACAAAGTTTCCAAATTTAAATAGGCTAAAATTACACTCATGTCACAACTCAAAATAGAGTTGCCTTGCTTAGAAGACAGTGTTTTGGGACCCCAAGCCAATTCCAGATTGCATGCATTTTATTTAGCCTTATCTCAAGACTATGAACCTGAGCACAACCAAATATAACACAAAGAAGAGAATGAATCAGTATTTTAGCCACATGACATTGTGTTACCATTTTTTGCTAAGAGGCCTGATTCATGGGATTCTTATGGACACCTGCTATTCTTATTATAAACTCCAAGCCAGTCACCCTCCAGAGGGGATGAATCCAAGTCAGAAGTTAGAAAGATATAAGGGCCCTGCTAATGAGAAATTAGCAGGCAGTACTTACATCCTATAAGTGCGATACATAATTCTGTCCACGGAAAAGCAGTGAAAGAAGGCACAAGACCATTTAGAAGTGGTTTTGAGACAAAGACAGACAATGAAGACTGAAGAATTAAACATCTGGTTACAAGACATTAACTCAGACACTCTGTCATGCATGACGATGGCTACAAAAACTCAAGACTATGTTCCAAGACAAGCTCTGAGCACACAAGGCAGGGTCCACACAGAAGCTTTCAGACAACTATCACCAGCTACATACTTGAGTTTGGAAGACATGTCCTCAGCTGGTCCCTTGCGTAGCATGTTGGCATTGGAGCTTACGCTCTGTGTGCGCTGCGGTTTCTCTTCCACCTGTTTTATCGGAGCAGCAGAAGGCCTCTTTGCTGACCGCTTAATCCTCTCCTCAAGCATGCTCATGTCCTTTTCAGAAAGCTGTAAGCAAGGGGCCAAATTTAACTTATCAGCATATCCATCTATCAAAACATGAGAATTAAAAAGCTAACTGGGGGGGGGGGCGTTCAAGATTTAGTATCTACTTTCAAATGGAAGCAAACAGAATCTACTGTTAGGTATCTTAAGTGATGACACTTAAAAATAACTACTATGGTGGACATTTGGCACAGCAGTTGAGATCCCTCTTGGAGCACCCACATTCCATATGGGAGTGCTTGAGTTTGAGTCCTGGCTCTGCTGCAGAGTGCAGCTTCCTGCTAATGTGCACCCTGGGCAGCAGCAGATGGTGACTCAAGTACTGGTGTCCCTTCTACCCATGTGGAAGACCTGGATTGGGTTCTGGGCCTCTGGCTTTGGACTAGCCCAGCCCCATTTGTTGCAAGTATGTGGGGTGTTAAACAGATGTCTCTCTGCCTTTTAATAAATAGTTTCAAATGAAAATAAATTAAAATTTAAAAATAAACTACTATTAACACCTATTTAGCCAAATTAACAAGAGAACATATGAAAGGACATAAAAGGAAAAGCTATTAATAGCTACAAATCAAGTGTCAAAAATTAAGAGGCTTCCCCATTTTTGTTTTGTCATTAATAACTAGCTGAATGATTACACTTCATTTTGGGTCACCTGTAAAGTTTCCATTTGCTTTATCTTCTTCACTGTGCTACTAGTAGCATGGATTCAATTAGATAACAGAAGCAAAAATATTTAAGCACAGTGTAAATATGTGGTGATATTTCGAGGTAAGTGGAGTGAAGGATAGAGGTACAACTACAATATTGACTGGTTCAAAGGAAGCCAGAGAGGCAGAGACTAACGTTCCAGGAAAAGTAGCTTACGGCTGCAGTTCAAATAAAAAAAATTTTTTTTTAATTTATTGATTTAAAGGACAGAGAAACAAGGGGAGGGAGGACAGAGAGAGACAGCCCTCAGTTCACCGATTCACTCCCTTCAGGCCCTCAAAAGGGTCAAGCAGGAGACCTGGGAGCTCTAACAAAGCTGGAAGCTGTTAACTCAATCCAGGTCTCCTACGTGGGAGGAATCCAATTACTTGGGCCAACTTTGCTTCCTCCCAGAGTCTCCATAAGCAGGAAGGAACTGGAGCTAGAGCCAGGTTTTGAATATGAGTACTATGGTTCGGAATTCAGATGTCTTTTTTTTTTTTTTTTTTTAAGATTTATTTATTTGAAAGTCAGAGTCACAGAGAGAGAGGGAGAGACAGAGAGAAAGAGATCTTCTACCTACTGGTTCACTCCCTCAAGTAGCTGCAAAAGCCAGGGTTGAGCCAGGTGGAAGCCAGGAGCAGGAGCTTCATTTGGGTTTCCCATGTGGATGGCAGGGGTCCAAACATTTGGGCCATCTTCTCCTGCTTTTTCCCAGGCCATGAACAGGGAGCTGGATCAGAAGTGGAGCATGGGGTGTGAAACAGCACCCAGACGGATGTTGGCATCAGAGGTAGCTGCTATATATCCATGCCACAATGCTGGCCCCCGAAATTCAGGTGTCTTAACCAGAATCTTAACTGCTAGGGCAAATGTCTGCTGTGCTCCAGATCGTCTTGCTCTAATAGGCACCAGTATTCATAGTGCACAAAAGAGTACTTGCTAACTGAAAATTAAACACATTAAAAATTACAGAGCTGGGGCCGGTGCTATGGCATAGCGGGGAAGGCCATCATCTGCAGTGCCAGCATCCCATATGGGTGCCGGTTTGAGTTCCGGCTACTCCACTTGCAGTCCAGCTCTCTGTTATGGCCTGGGAAGGCAACGGAGGATGGCCCAGGTTCTTCGGCCCCTGAGCCCACGTGGGAGATTCCAAGGAGGATCCTGGCTCCTGGCTTCAGATTGGCACAGCTCCGGCCATTGTGGCCATCTGGGGAGTGAACCAGCGGGTGGAAGATCTCTCTCTCTGCCTCTGCTTTTCTGTAACTCTGCCTTTCAAATAAATAATATATAAATCTTTAAAAAAATTTACAGAGCAGATTGCCAGGCAGAATTTAAACCCTAAACTAGCTCAGATTTCTTGATTCAAAAATAGCATTCATATCTAAAGCAAACTGCTATGAATAGAATGCCCGGAAAAGAAAATGTCATGTCCAGTAAACACAGCCTCCACGTCCAACAACAGGCAAAGACGCCCCAGAGTTCTGTCTGGACTTTACAATGCACTGCTGGGCTGAGTGTGCTATCAGAGGTTAAAATCTTAGTTGCAGTTGAGATGGCAGGAAAGCTGACACCTAAGAGATCTTGCAGTTCTTTTCACAACATGCTAAATGCTAAGAAAAATCACTCACATTTCCAATCAGTTTGAACACCTGATCCCCATGTACATTGTACACAGTTACAATGGTGTTGAGGGCAGCATTGCGTACAGCATTGTCACGGTCTCCTATGTGAATAGCTATCTCCTTTAAGGCTTTTCCTGGGGTTGGCTGGCAAACATTCATGCCATAGGACTCGACCAGACACCCCAGCTCTTCCAGGCACTCTGTTGGTGGAGAAAGGCTAGATTAATGAGACTCAACACACATTTGGCATAGAGGTTTATCCTTGCTAGATAGATTTCCTTTGGCCTGTATGAAGGACTAAAATCTTATTCTGGTTCAGTCTAAAATTTTCTCGTGTTTAATGCCAAAGCAACAAAACAATGGTGTTACAGTAAGTGCTGTCCCTGAAAGAAAGGAATGCCTGTGAGTCAGATGGCCCCTGTGCACTTGATTTTGTCACCAGGGTGGTACTGAGTGGTGCCTGTATCACCTGATACTATGGCTCCACCAGTGTGCAACTCATCACTCTCACAGTCTAAATCAGAAAGTTGGAATCCATTAAACAGACACCAAGGAGATGTCCCTGTTCATCTACAAACTATTTCTTCAGGGGTCACAGTGGCAAGGATTTGTGTCTCAATTTAAATTGTTTACTTTACCTGCTCTTTGCTTAGAGTTTTTGGATTTGGTTCCTTCCATGATGAAGGGGAACATCTTGCTGGCTGGGTAGACAAGGCACATCCGGTTCAGGATGGCACGAACATCTTTACGAATGACATCCTTTGGTTCTCCAACCTA